GCTGTCAAAACGGCTCGTTGTTCGTGAACAGCTCAAGTTCGGCTCATTCGTTAAGTTAACGAGCTGAACACAAACAACACGAGCAAAGAGTTGTTCGTACATGTTCAGCTCCTTTTGGCTCGAAATACTATATATCTTTGATGAGTAGTATTTTTAAAAAACTTAATTGACTACAAAACTATAAAGATTTATAATCAATCATAAGTATTAATTAAGAAAATAGAATAAAAAATCTTTAATTAAATTCAAACAATGTTTTAATATAAACAATAATTTTTAAATCTTGCCCCAATCTTTAACATCTTATGACAACCTGATTAGAGTTGTCAAAACGACTATTTATTCGTGACCGGCTCCCGCTTGCTCCTTCCCTCTCCTTCTATAAACCCTCGCCGACGTCCTTCCCCACTCCCGGTTTCGCACAAACCCATCGCCATCCTGATGGAAAGCCCGCGATACAGTCGCTGTTAGAGCTAGCTTTGAAGGCAGCTACGGGCTCGGGGCGTACAAAGACCTCCGAAACTTCCATCCTTCTTCTCCTTCTGCTCCCTTTGTACCAAAAACCATTGGGAAGGTAACCCTTCAGCTTCTCTAAATCCTGGTAGATCCGTCTCCCAATGGGATACACTAAATCCAGGATTTAAGTCAAAACGGAGGAAAAACATGCTTTAAGAAGCTGTGGGATTTTGTTCAAATACTGACACCAAACAACCCTAGTTTTAGGTTAAATCCTGCTACTGAACAGCCCCTTTATTGAAGAGGACGGGAGAAGGATGACAGCGGGGGTGGCGGAGTTCGTTAGCGGCATGGATGACTGTCGGCTGAAGCCACAGATGCTCCGTTCTGTGGTGCGTGATGGCCTCCCCGACGAGAAACGACCATTCCCTAGAACAGCAGAGCTCGCAGCTGTGCTCTCTCGAGTGCGAACGCATGGACTCCTCTCGGAGAGCTACTCGGACACCGCGGGACGTAAGCTGATTGAGGCGTGGAGGTCTGCCGTCGACACCTGGGTCGAGCGTATTGTTTCTCTCGCTTCAAGCAGCGCGGTAGTTTATTTTACCTTTTCTTTATAACCACTCTCTTTAGCTCATCAGAATTCTTCCCACTTCCAGTTGCATTGTTAGATTCTGGAAAATTGCAATTTTACCAGTTCAAATTTTTTACTACTGTCGAAAGACCTTGTTTAGTTGACTCTCTGGTTTGCATTTAATGATCTAGCCTGACAGATGTTGGGCGGGAAGTTGTTTGCTTGGGGTGACATGCGAAGAATGCTGCTCCGATCGTTTCCAGTCATCGTACACTATTTGGTTTCAGAAACTGCTGGAGAACTTTCAGGTATTGTACCCCAATTCATATGTATCTACATATCTAACAGCTAAACTTCAATTTTCACATATATGGCAACTTACCAATGCATGAAAAGGTGTATTTCACTTTTTTAAAGTTACAATGGTGGTATTTTTTATTTGCTATGAAAGATTTGGGTGTTATAAATGTAAAAACAAAACTTTAGTGTTACATATGCAAAAAAAAAAAAAAAAGACTTTTTTGGGTTATTCTTCATTGTTAATTAGCATTTCATGCACATTATGTGGTTTCATTTCTGATGCACGCAGTCTCCATCTGCCACCCATATTATCAAAGTTGCCTGCTGTGCTTCATTGGCTGATCTTTTTACAAGGTTGGTTGACTTTGCATCACTTCTCAATCTCATAGCTAATTTGTTTGGAAGATTTTATACTGCTGGCAACATCTTTATCTGGCAGCAGTAAATTTTTTGAATAGATTTTTTTTTGAATAAGCATGCTTATTGACATCTTCATATTGTCATCAGGTTGGCTTCCTTTCCAAATCTTAAAAAAGATGGAACATTGTTTGCTAGAAAAGTTATCCAGCCAGTTCTGCAGATGTTAAATGAGGATGTTGAAGAAACTTGTTGGGTAAACCTTCTTGAATAATGTGTATTTATGTTTCTACTATCGGCTTTTATAGATAATTGATTCTTTTCATGTAATTTGTATGCTCGTCCAGGATGTTGCGGCGAATTTGTTATGCACACTTTTATCATTGTTTCCCTCATCCATAAAACAACACTACTACAATGTAAGCATAATCACTTATGTTCTTCAATGTATATGCTTTACAAGCTAAATGCCACGACTTATGAGCAATTACTACCGATATTTAGGGTATGTTTGGGATAATTTTTGCATGCTTTGCGTTTTAGACCGCCACCATAGTTTTGTTTGAAAAGTTACTTTCTAGAAATGTTTTTTTGGTGAGAAGTTGTTATTTGCAACCAAATCTCTTAAAGTGTGGTGGCTGGAAGAAAACTGTCGTCTGAACTTTTGGAAAAAAAATAAATATTTATAATTTATCTTGCCGCTTTGAAAGAAGTTGTTTTCCTCCCTACAATTTTACAACAACCTTTACAAAAAGTTGTAGCCATCCTAAACGGATCATTAGTTTCCACGACATTATGAGCCTTTTTTGTTGATATTTAGTTTTCATTCTTTACATCTAAATTTCTTAAGTTAAAGTGTTTAAGTATGCTTTTATAGGCTTTCAATCTATATTTGAAAATAGGAAACTAGCAAGTTATAACGAAATCTAATTAATATTGCATACTCAATGAATATTTAATTAATTTCAGGTCAGAACATGTTTCAGTTGTGAAAAGGTTTATTAAAATTACATCCTTAGTCAGAAAGTTTATGATTGATTGTTAAGTGAATGATTTTTAAGCAGGCCTTTCTTTCTATAGTCTGCCCCATCCCGTGCAAAAATTGCAGTTTCCTGAAGAATTTTTATACGTTGTCCTTTCTTTTTCGTGCGATGACTCCACTGATGATGTTCTCAGATATTGTAATATTATGTCAGGTTGAAGCTGTTCTTGCTTCAATGATCATGGCAGCAAAATGTAAATTAAATACTTCCAAGGTGAAGGCAAATTTTCATCATTTTCAAAGTACATCATAAGAATTAGAAAGATTTACATACATACGCACTCAATTCCTATGTATTTCCATATCTAACTCCTAAATTTCAATTTTTACGTACATGCCACCTTACCTATGGATGAAATGGTGTATTTCACTTTTAAAAAGCTAAAATGGTGGTATCTTTTATGTGTACGAAAGATTTGGGTGGTATAAATGTAAAAAGTAAAGTTTAGGTGTTGGGTATGTAAATACATAGGAATTGGATGGTATGTATGTAGAATTGGATGGTATGTATGTGATGGTATGTATGTAAATGACCTAAGAATTATTATCAGTGATAGGTAGCAGACATGTATTTTCTTTGCTATTTTTAATTGCGTTTCTCATTCATGAGCATTTCCTTCCTCCTTTTCTCAGAAAATTTCCCTTAGCTTAGCAATGCTTCCTAAGGTGAAAGGGGATGGAGATAGCTGGTTTTTGATTATTCAGAAGATTCTTATAGCCATAAATTCTCTTCTCACTGATGCATTTCA